CCAACCTGGATAGGCCGCAGCCGCGCGTGCCGCCTGCGCCGCGCATCCCCGGCGGAGAGGCTGGCAAAGCGGGACCGACTTCCTTGGTGCGTGTGTCGGGGCGAGGGCCGGGTGGGGTGGGGTGGGGTGGGTTTCGCCCGGTCCTAGCGCCCCGCGTGGCTGCCTGGGCGCGGCGATGCTCCCTCGGCCCTGCCTGGCGCTCCACCCGGCTTTGCGAGCGGCCGCGGAGAGCCGGCGTGTGCGTGCCAGGGCTGGGGACTGTCGCCAGCGGCGCCTTGGCGCGTCAGATGGGGATTCCCTTTGGGCAGCCCGGCGGAGCCGGCCCAGGAGGTGAGGACGCTCCACCTCCCAAAGCGGCGGAGCTCACCTGGGCTGGCCCCGCCGCGGCACGGCCAAGGCACTCTGCTGCGCCCAGCCTCGGGCACACGCCCAGCCCGAGGAGGGTTGTACAGCCTGCCCTCCTTGGGCTTAAGCGTCCAGCGCCGTGAATGGCCTCGCCCCGACCCTCCCAGTTTTGCCCAGTCACTATGCAGACGTTTTCTCGCTATGTAGACAAGTTTTCCGTGTGTACTTAAACTTGTAACTCTCTACTGGAGGGCAGGAAGCCGCCAAACTGCTTCTTTGGTGTCTCAGGAGACTTCCTTAGGGCGAGTACCTCCCCTGGCCCAGACTAGCCCACTCTGGTCAGATCTTGGCTGCCAAGCAGGGTTGGCCCTGGTTAGTGTTTGGATGGGAGACCACCAAGGAAGTCCAGGGGTGCTATGCAGATGTAGAATATTGCAAACCACCTTTGTTAGTCTCTAGCCTTGAAAACCCTGTGACAGCACTTTACATACATGCACGCGCACACACACACATATGTCCTGGCAAAATTGCATTTGTGAACAGGGGCATAAGGCCGCAGCAATTCCCATGATTATGTGAAATATAGAGACTTTTGCCCTATTTAGTGATTCTGTTGCCCAGTATGTATGCCATGTTTCTTTATGGCCTGGTTGACACATGATTTTGGTGCATATGGGTAGTGCGCATTTAATGACAGCTAGTGGACTGTGTGAGCTGACTCCATTAAAAACATTTTGTTTAAGGTGGCATAAGGAGATGCTGCAACATCACAGTTAGAACTTTCTGTATCTGAGCATCTGTTCACATGTGCAGGTCCTTATCTGATGCTGTACTAATCAAGTGAGCACGTACATGTGAACCAGCCCTGTATAATCAGCATGTCTACATGTTTGTGTTTAAAGTGCCATCAATTCACATCCAACTTAAGGCAACCCCAGCGAGGGACTTTTGGGGCAAGTGAGAAGCAGAGGTGATTTATGTCTGATGATACCCGTGTATATACAAAATGTATTGTGTGGACCACCTTTTATTGGGGAATTGAAGTTCCTTGTCTTGTTAGGATGAACAAGTTTCTGAAAACTTAGATTTGAATATTCAGGACAAGAGTGGTGTTGTAGTCATGTGTGTATGCAATGTAAATGAAAAAATGTGAATTTTAGGTTACTGGGAAATGATTGTTTGTTTGCATATTTGTGTGCTCTGTATCTTGAAAAGGTTTTATGAGGATGATAAAAATTTTTTAAAATGTCTTGATCTATCACCTCAAGCATAGGTATAGATGGTACTTTTGTTGTTAGTTGGAAACAAAAAGGAAGGAGAGAAGGAAAGGGGGAAGGATAAATGTTGTTGATGGCTCCTGGAATGTTTAATATGATCAGCGCAATCCTAAGAATGTTTTCCTGGGAGTAAGCCCTATTAAATAAACCTGCATAGGTATCTGAGTAGATCTGCTTAGAGATGGTTTGTCTGTCCCTTTTCAATTTTTTGTAGCAGTTTTGTTTGTGTCAAGAATAGGTGGGGCCAAAATAACTGTCACTGGTGATTGGGATCAATTCCTCCTGTATGTTAGCCATGCTCATATTTCCCCCCCCCCAAAAAAAAAGCTTTATTGAAAATATAGTATAATATAATAACAGAGTAACATCAAATGCTCATATTTTCCTATTGCACAACGTGAAACCCACAGAAACAAGGAACTCTGTACAAGTGTTGAAAGTTATGTTGGGCAAAAACATTCCCCACTCTGTATCTGGAAAGTGACTGTCACGCCGCAATCAGGCAAACACTGCTCTTCTAAAAACTGAGTGTGATGTAAAAACTATGTGTAAAATATACAGTGTCTAGAGAGAACCCTTATTTCAATTACACTGTGCATAACAATGCACTTCTTGAAAATGTCCTAATGCTGTAAACTTCCCCTGAAGCTGCTGTGTGTAGCTGGCATGTTTGGCTCTGGGCTTACTGAATTGAGTCCTTTCAGTGGATTATGCCTGTCTAGCCTGTTCTGACACATGTTCATTGAGAAGTCTTACTTGGTTCAATATAGTTTACTTGTGACTATAGTGTATGTAGGATTGCAGTTTTCATTTTTTAGTGATATTTTCTCAGGCTGAATTTAAACTGCCAGTTTAAGATCTTTTTAAGGTTAATATTTGTAATGAAAATAGAATAAAAAAATTAGGGACCTTAATTAAACTTTTAGAATGTTTTTGCTTTATTCCTAATGCGTTGCTATACTCCAGATACCAGGAATGGGATGAATCGGCACATGGAGGCAGTTTTGTGTAGTGGTTAGAGTGTTGGCTTACGAGTGGGGAAACCCAGGATCAAATTCCCACTCATCCATGAAGCTCACTGGGTGATCTGGGCTGACCTTTTGTGATGGAATGAATTTTGGAATGTACTCAGGGCTTGCTGGTAGAGCATCAGCATACAGAAGTCCCTGGTTTCAGTCCCCAGCATCTTCATGATCAGGTAGTAAAAGTGTCAAATAGTACATGGTGTGAAAGACTTCAGAATCCATAAAATCACAAGCATATATGAAATGTATAAAATAAAAATATAAAATAGTGCATGCAAGTAAAACATGTTAAATCCTATAACAAATTACATCTATTCTCCTTTCATTAGCAGCTTTCTCGTCCTTACAGCTAACCAGCCAAATTTGGCAAGTTTAGCTGTAACCTAAGGGAGCCCACTTTCTAAGAGATTCTTCAGTAATTGCATCTTTTGACTAGTTGAGGTGCGAAGGACTTCAAAAGTTGCAGGCTAGCCATTTCATTCAAGGGAGGGGCTGTGGTTCAGTGGCAGAGCATCTGCTTTGCATGCTGAAGGTTCCAGGTTCAGTCCCGGACATATCCAGTGAAGAGGGTTTGGTGGGAAGTGATGGATCTTCTTCCGGAGACCCGGAGAGCTGCTCCGAGTCAGAGTAGACAGTACTGGCCTTGATGGACCAAGGATCTTCTTCCGTAAAAGGCAGCTTCATGTGTGTACAGCTTTACCTACTTCATAAGGTTGTTGTGACAGTGATGGAGGGCAGAATCACGTATGATACCCTGAACTTCCAGGAGGAAGGGAGGGATAAAATGTGATCTCTGGAAAGACAGAGTAGAAAAGCTGCGGCAGGCCACAGTGTGTTGCCTCCTGTGTCAGTGGGGCTGCTTTACTGCAGGTCATTTTGGGGTGTGTGTTTGTGTGTGTGTGGAAAGTGCCGTCAAGTCACAGCTGACTTATGGTGACCCTGTAGGGTTTTCAAGGCACGAGAGGTTCAGAGGTGGATTGCCGTTGCCTGCCTGTGCATGGTGACCTTAGTATTCCTTGATGGTCTCCCATCCAAATACTAGCCAGGGGCACCCCTGCTTAGCTTCTGAGATCTGATGAGATGGGGCTATCCTGGGCCATCCAGGTCAGGGCACTGCAAGTCATAGCCTGCTGCAAAGCCCCCGTGATTAATTGCAGCCGCGTATACAAACTCTGCTGATCCCCCCCCCACACACACACTTTTTCTCAAGCTGTTATTAAGTCCACTGTGGTTCAGTCAGGCATTTCAAATGCTCCAGGGTTGTACCGAAGCCTGAGAAGTGTCTGAAAAAGCAGAAAGCTCCATTACCTTTATTTTTACAGAAGGAAATTTTTTTTTTAACTGTAGAATATTCCATTAAGCGAACTCTTAAATGTTAAGAGCATAAGGAGAGCCCTGATAGATCAGACCAGGGGTTCAGCGTGCCTTTTTCAACAGTGGCCAGTCAGGAATCTTCAAGAAGCCTAAAAGTGGCTCATTTGGGCAGCAGTTCCCCCCATGTTAAATAGCTATGGTGCCCGGTATTCAGAAGTATACTGCCTCTGATCCTGGAGGTTCTGCTTAGCAGCAATAATCACTGGAAAGAGAAACAAGAAGAGATTGGATTTATACCCCATCCTTCACTACCCGAAGGAGTCTCAGAGTGGCTTACAGTCTCCTTTTCCTTCCCCTCCCCACAACATGCACCCTGTGAGGTAGGTGGGGCTGAGAGAGCTCTTTCGAGAACTTCCCTTGAGAGAACAGCTCTGAAAGAACTTGTGACTAACTCAAGGTGGAGGAGTGGGGAATCAAATTAGAATCCACACTCCTAACCATTACACCAAACTGGCTTGAGTAGCACCTTAAAGACTAACACAATTTGTGGTGGGGTATGAGCTTTCCTGAGTCGCTGCTTACTTCTTCTCTTTTCTGCTGCTACAGACTAACATGGCTACCCATCTTGATAAAT